GTGATGGCGTCGGCTCGGTTGTTCGCCTTCACTCGGCTCGAGGGTCGGCAGGCATGAGTTGCCGTGGTGACAAGTGATGGGGAGTAGCGGAGCCGGTTGGGAGGAGTAGACACGATGTGAAGGTGCAAAGGAAAGCGGAGAAAAGCCTTCGTAGCCGCGGCAACAAACGCGCAAACAGGCTCAATCTACCCAAGGATGGGCGTTTTGTCGAGTTTTATAGAGTACAGAAGATGAACGCCGGTCTGTACGACGAATGAGCGAGTTGGGAGCCGAAGAAAGGCCTGAGGGGAGAGAACAAGACAGGGGGTGACCGGCCGACCACAGGCAGCTAAGGCTTGTGCATGCGTCTGTGCGGCCGGACACGGCGCCGATGTGTCTGTCAGTTTGTTTCCATGTCTGTCGGTGTGTCTGATGCCTATGGGGATCAGACTATTGGCACGCGCGTAGCGGTCTGACGAGCGAAGCCAATCAGAAAACGGCATCTCAACCGGACAGATTGGCTGAATGCTTTGGGGAAAAGTCCCGGACAAGCGGGTATTGGTCTGTTCCGACGGGGAGATAAAACAAAAGTTGGCAAGAGCAACCGAGTCCTGAAAGGGGCTAGCGGCAGGGCCGAAAAAGAGGGTAGAAGAAGCATCCAAATTAACCGTTAAACGTCAACTATTGACACACAATCAAAGGCCATTAGTTCATCCTTATCTGTGTGCGTCTGTATGTGTGTGTGTACAGGCATTCAGGATTTATCACATCTGTATCTGTCTGTATGTGATGTTTATACGCCGAATGTCTGCATTTTTGTGGGAAACTGAACAATGGACCAATCGTCACATCAACTGTATCCAATAGTTGCTCTTGGCGGTCCCAAATAATTTTTGATACAAGTGGCATTCGAGACTATCGGTAATTGTTGAACAAGAACTCAATCGGTCCATGTCGTTTAGGGTGATTTAAGAGGAGATCGTCGATTTTTCCCAACTAACGCGAGAATTAAGCGCCTAAATTATTAGTCAACAATTACTGATAATCTGGACAACTACTCATATCGAAAATAAGTAACGCCGTCGATTGCAATGGCAAGCCGATATTTGCATAATCCACATTCTCACCGAACAGTTGGTTGGAGGAAAGTTGCAAAGCGGTCTCATCCGAAACCGAAGGAGAGTTGCCTTGGAGAACAAATGCATACTTCAGATAAAGGCACAAAGAATAACATAAGCCAAGAAACATAGGCGAGCCTGAGCAATCACACGCATTCGGTAGACCTAACTTTGATATTCCAATGAGGAGTTTCCCGATTTGGTTGGTTATTTCATGCTGAGCATGTCTTCTTAGAAATGGGAAATATTAATGTTTGCTTGTCTCTATCATAAAACAATTGTAAAAGTTCCAATCACACTCGACACTATTCAAGTCTCCTACTCTTACTCTTCCACCTCTTATCAGCTCTCCTGCAACAGCAACCATGAATAGTTATCTTTCGTTTTTAAGTGGGCTTTCGAAACTGCCAGTAGATCATATATCCCATTTCGTTTGGTGTGACAAGGGAACTGGTAGTTGAATTTTCCCACAATCATATGAATAGACATGACGTACCCACTGGATCTCACATAGCCTTGCCTCCTCAAAGGGGTCAAAAGTGAAATAATTGTTGGGCTTACTTCCATTTCGAGTAAAAGTGTTTGGTGAAGAGGTTCGAAGGTCGGTTCCACCAGAAGACGATGGCGAATTCCTCTTGACCAGCTGTCGATTGGCTTTACTGGA